TTAAGATTTTCCTAAGTCCTGTTTACTGCGATCTTCCACTGTAAATCTTCCGGAGGCAAGTTTTGTGGTTTTTGGGAACCTTTGCTGGTTATTTCGCAAGAGTTTACAAAGGTAAATTGCAGAATCTTCTTAAAGACATATTTTCAGACTGTTCAGATGCTTATTTCAGAAACACCTGAAGGAAACTTTAGGATCTTCAAAAAAAAAATCAAGTTTTAGAATAAATCCAGAGTCTTCCGAAGGCAGGGGTTAAGATTTTCCTAAGTCCTGTTTACTGCGATGTTCCACTGTTAATCTTCCCGAGGCAAGTTTTGGGGTTTCTGAGAACCTTTGCTGGTTATTTCGCAAGAGTTTACAAAGGTAAATTGCAGAATCTTCTAGACATATTTTCAGACTGTCCAGATGCTTGTTTTAGAAATACCTGAAGGAAAGTTAGGATCTTTAAAAAATCAAGTTTTAGGGCATTTAGGAGACTCGTTCTGAGATATTGGAAGCCAATTCCGGGATCTTTAGGAGGAAAATTTTAACTTCTTCTAAAGGCATGCCCTGCAATCTTCCGATGGGAAAATATCGAGTTTTCACAGGCAAGTTCTGTGGACTTTTGAAGGTATTTTTTAGAACCTCTCAATGGTAAATTTCGGAATTTTCTCAAGAAACACCTTTAGATTATCTATAGGAACATAAGATGCAATATTCCAAAGCCTTCCAAAATCAAGTTCCGAGATCTTCCAGTGGAACGTTCTGAAATCATCGGAAGGCTTCTCCTGGAATCTTCCATATGCAAGTAGTGTATATGCTATAGGGATGTCCTATTATCTACTGAATGCATGTTCTGGGAACTCGTGGAGCCAAATTCTATGAAATTCTGAAAGAAAGTTCAGAAAACATCCCAAGGTATGTTTAGGGACCGATGTGCCATGAATGGAACTGTCTTAAAAATCTTTAAACTTCCCTGAAAAACTCTAGAAAGTCCAAAAAAAAAATTGCCTAAATATTTCAAAACAACAATCGGTAGACCTCTGGACTTCCCTGAAATTCCTGGAACTTCTTAAAGAAGGAAAAAGAGATTCCTGTGAATAATGAAACTGCTCTTTGAACTTCACTGAAGTTCTGTGGATTTCCCTGAAAATCAAAGAACTTCGCTGCAGTTCCGGAAATTCTCTCAGTTCCTTCGAACTTCTGCAAAGTTCCTGCAATTTCCTTGAAGTCAAATGAACTGCCCTGTATGAGTCGTATGATCTTCCCTGATGCTACTTTGAAGTTCCCATAATTGTCCGAAAGTTCTTGTTACTACCCTGACATGGATGGAAATTTCTTAAAAATCTTCAATCTTCCCTGAAAATCTATAAAATTAAAAACATTCCAGTTGCCTAAATATTTCAAAACAACCATCGATAGACCTCTGAACTTGGACCTCCCTTAGCTCAGTCGGTGAAGGCGCAGCTACAAAGCAAGACCATGCTGGAGGTGGCTGGGTTCAATTCCCGGTTCGGTCTAGGAATTTTTCGGGTTGGAAAATGTCTCGACTTCCCTGGGCATATAGTTATGATTGTACTTGCCACACAATTATACTAATGCAAAAATCGTACAGGCATCGAAAGCTCTCAATTAATAACTGTGGAAGTGCATCTAGAACACTAAGTTGAGAGCACGCAATAAGCTAATATGCCATACGCAATAAGCTTGAAATGCGAGGAAGAAGAAGACCTCTGAACTTCTAAAAGAAGATAAAGAGAATAAATTTCTAACCATATTCATAATGTTCTCTGGAATTGTCAAAAGTTTTCTTGACTTTCTTAAAGTTCTTTGGATATAACTGAAATTCCTAGAACCGTTTTCCTAAAATTAATGAATTAAGATTGTAAGATCTCTAAGCTTCCCACATTTTCTACAGTTTCTTAAATTTCTCGGCACTTCTTTGATGTTTCAGACATTTTTTAAGTTTTCCAAACTTCCCTGATGTTCACAAGACTATCTCTAATTTTTAAAACTTCCTGAAGCCTCCCGCAATTTTTTTTTATTTAATGGAACTGCCCTAAAGTACTCCAAAATTACCTAAACTTCCCGCAAATTTCCTAATAATGGACCTACACTGAGTTCACAAAACTGCCAGAAGTTACGTATTTAGCTTCCCTTAAGATCTTTAAACTCAATGTTTTGGGATCTTCAGTTAAGTTCCAGAATTTTTTTTTTGTAATTAATGGGACTGCCCTGAAGCTCATAGTTCTTCATGGAAGTTCTCGAAAGTTTCCTAAAATCTTTTGAAAGCTATCGGAACTTACCATAACCGATCTTTATACTATTATGTTGTTCTGGAAGTTCTTGAATATCACGAAACTGCCCTGAAGTTTTTGGAACATCCTATAAATTCTTGGAATTTCCATGAAATTCAAAAAGTTTTCAAAATTTTCTATTCTTTCCAACGTTTATCGAACTCGTAACTTCGTTTGTGTTTTCTGGACTGTGTTCATGGAACATCTGTAAAGTTCCTACATTTTTCCTGAAGTTAAGCCTGCCCTGAAGTTCTTCCTAAAGATCTTCGAACTTATGTGAATTATTCTTGGACTTCTTGTGAAGTTCCGGAAATCTTCTAGATGCTGTCTTGATGATCTCTTAACATAGATCACGACATTTTCTTGAAATTCAAGGATCTGCAATGATTGACCCTTAAGGATCTATAAACTTCCCCAAAGTTCTGAACTTTTCTGCAGTTCTCAAAACTTTCCTGAAATTTTTGAAAGATCTCTGAATGTCTCGGGGTTTCCTAAAGTTCATGAAACTCCAAAGAAGTTTTAAAAATCGATCTATAGAGCTTTGACCTTCGCTGTACTTTTTTTCTGGAGTTCCCTGAACTTCTCAGAACGTCTTAAAAGTTCCTGTAATTTTCCGGAAATTAATGGAACGCAATTTGAGGCAGATTTTTTTTTACTGGAACAGAGTAAGTTTAGATATGATCGAAGACAAGTGTAGATCATCAAAAGAACTAATTCAAAGACCTCAATACTTAGAAGACCCTTACAGAAAAAAAACGACTCATTAGGAAAGCTTCTAAGAAGAATCTAAAGCTGTCTTCGAAGACTTTTCTCGCTGCATTCAACAGTGAGATTACTTACATCTGCTCCAGAATCCCCACTGATCAGTACTGGCAGTCAGTTGACCCTAGCCTTGAAAAATCATCTCCAGATCCTTCTGATTTCGACAGTCCACAACACCCACATTCCAATCTTAAAGTTCCCCTGGACCTAGCCTTTTGAAACAACTGAGCAACCGACGTCTCTGACCTTTGAAGAGACTGAGCTACTGCACGCCTTCCGGATTGCGGGCATCCCTGTTAATAGCTTCCAAATACCAGTAGACAACACATCCCTGCCACCTTCCTTCTTCCGGAGACCAGCAGCGGACCACCACCGACGTTCTCTTCATTCTTCCCACATAGAACTATCCCGTCCACCACACCTCGGTATGTCGCACAGAGCAGAAATTCCATCGGCGTCGTCCTCATCATCATCATCATCATCGTCCAACCGACCGTGGCCATGGCCGTGAGAAGCACCTTCCATCATCGACAATTTTCCGCTACCTGTTGCTGTAAGTACACTGTATTAAGTAGGTAGGTAGGTACTCTTTCCCCCTTATATTTATGTGCCCATCGTCGACGTCGTCGCGCAAATGATGTATTTCATAATGAACCCACATATTATCACAGGGATCACGTCGTTGGACCAGCAGCAACTCTCCAACATCGCACATCGGCCAGCAGACGACACAGAACCACCTAACGGTGTGCAGTTATGGTCACATACAAACTCCCGGGTCGTAAGTCCAAGCTGACTAAGACATTTCTTATATAGTTCTATCTCGCGCATTGTCTTTGCCAGCGAGCGTTCCGGAGCGGGCATTAAATGATCTCAACGAACGAACAGAATAAAAAAAAAAAAAAACGCGAGCCTTATTCCTTCGTAGTATTAAGCCTGCCTACGAACAGTTCCAGCGAGAGAGAGAGAAACATAATCTAGAAAGAAAATCAAGTGGAAATATTTATGTTTCATCCTCCGCTTGTTATCGTGCCTCTTTTCTTTTCTCCGGAGATTGGATTGGAAGGTTGGCGGAGGGAGGCGGTGCGGGGGATGCTCCACGAACTTGATGACGATCAAACTGTGGTAGCCAAGGCTGCTGCTGCTGCTGCCGCAGTAGAACTTCAAGTACCCACAAGGAATGGCAAGGGAGATAAATAAATCCAAACAATCTGTGGGATGTCGCATTCGTCGTCGGAATGCGCTTCACCAGTTGCTCTTTTTCCTCGTCTTCTTCTTTTCGTATATAGCAACTGCGAACTTCGAAGAAGTGCAGCAGCAGCACTGGGAACGACGACGTGCGCGATTCGGTTGACATGCTGCAATGATGTTCAATTGATTAATACTAATTATGCTGAACACGTCGTCCACAAGAAGAGAGCCCACGAAGACGGATCGGATCGGATAGGATCGAATCATCGGGGGGGCTTGGAATCGCTTTTCCACATTTATGGCCAGCTATTCAAAGGTGGAAAGTGGTTCATCTACTTTTATGGATCGTGCGCGGCTTGGCCCGTTTCGTCGTTGGCGCACACTTATGCTCGATGAGAGGTCATTTCTCTGCGCCCGAGGTCCAAATTGAATTTTGGTTTCTCGTTTCCATTATGGGTTGGGGAATCTTAAAAAGGCGAGAGGGAGGTAGGTGGTTTAAAGCTCGGTACTTTACGATCACCTTCCCAATAAATCATCGGGCACTTGATTATCTCCACGAGCGCAGAAATCGCTCGCAAGCTAATCCATCTCCTTTCTCCGAGCGCGCGCTCATAATGCATTACAAGCGCAACCAAGACTCGTAAAACCTAAACAACAACAACAACAACAACAACAACAATAAGCAAATGATTTACCGGCTTGACCTTTTCTCTTTCTCTACAAACAGCAAGTACTTGTACTCTCGGAACAGAAAGGCGCCACGACGACACTTACCTGGCATGCAAACGCAGCGAAAAGTTCCCGGATCGTCGAGGCAGCTGCCCTCGTTCTGGCACGGATGGGACTCGCACTCGTTGACGTTGGTCTCGCAGCGTGGACCGGTGAAGCCCTGGGTACAGTTGCAGGCAAAGGACCCGGGCGTGTTGACGCAGATGCCGTTGTGCTCGCACGGGGAACCTGAAACGGATGATGGGAAAACGTTAGAATCTAGAATTGTTACTGAAAGACACTAATACTATGTAGTAGAATTGATTTTTGAATAACTAAGGATATTTTCGGAAGGCTACCTGAGGTATGCATTGTTGTGAGGATTAGATGCATTACCCTTTTTCAGGGAAACCATAAACTCCAATTCGTTTGGCTCCGGGAAGCAACGACTATTGAGCTGCTTGACTAATGAGCGATTAAAAAAATCGCTTTCCAGTCTCGAGAAAATCTGCATCCTCCGACATTCCATTTCACAAAACTGTAAACTGTCTCTAAGGAAAGACCAAAACATCGGACTCAAATTAAATAACAGTACACTACACGATCGCTGACTGAAAGACTTTTCACTGAAAGACCGCTAACTGAAACAATTTTCAGATAAAGGACATTTATCTGTCAAATTGTGTGCATTTCAAAATGTCAAGATGAGCCAAATGAAGAGGATGAACAGTACATTGATGCATTTTTAACGAACTTGACAGCTGATTTGACACATGAAATGCATTTCAGATAGCGAATGTCGTACGCTAAGTGAAAAGTAAACATGTTTCAGTTAGCGAACGTCTAGTGTATTTTGATTTGTTCGTAGCTGAAAAACCATTTCCTATAGCTTTAGCGTAAAATTTAAAATAACCTAAAGCAACAAATGCTCACTTTTAAACCTATTTTCAATGACTGGAAGTGGGAGTAATTCAACCCAAATTTCAACGAGATATCTTCATATGCCTTCCATCGAAGACAACAAATCAACTCTCTTACATTTTCTCATACGAACGCTATATGAGACAGGTACAATCGCGTCATCTGCCGCTCAAAGGTAAATGCTTCGAACGAATTTGATAGCAAAGATTATATCCTCAGATGAAGGGTTTGAGTATTTGCTCATTTTTCTATGCGTTGCTTTCACCTTAACTCAAGCGCAGCGCCATTGTATATGTCGCTTAGAATCTGGCAAAGTTGCCAGTCTTCTTGATTTGTTGTCTTCGCTTCTATGCTACTTTTGAAATGTGTTCAATATTTCAGATTTATAAAACTGAGTCTTTCCAGAAGTTCAGGGACCTTCTTAGAAGTCAAGGTCACTTTGTAACAATTAAGAGAACATCATTTGATTTCAGAGAACGTCGCAAAAATTCGGAGCATACCTTAAAAGTAAAGAGAACGTTGTGAACCCTCCCTTAGCTCAGTCGGTAAAGGCACAGCTACAAAGCAATATAATGCTGGAGGTGGCTGGGTTCGAATCCCGGTTCGGTCTAGGAATTTTCCGGGTTGGAAAATGTGTCGACTTCCCTGGACGTAGAGTTATGATTGCACTTGCCACACAATTATACTAATGCAAAAATGGTACAGGCATTGAAAGCTCTCAATTCATAACTGTAAATGTGCAGTGGTGTATAAGTTGACAGTTCTGAAAACTTTTTACAAGTTCAGAACATTTTACATAAATTCTGCCAACGTTGTAAAAGCTTAGAAAACTTTGTAGAAGCTCAGTGAACTTCATAGAACTTCAGATAATGTTGTTAAATTTCAGCAAATTTTGTAGAAGTTCAGAGAACTTAGTAGATCTTCTTCAAACGTTGATGAAAATTAGCTAACTTTAGAGAAATTTAGCAAATTTTGTAGAAATTCGAAGAACTCCTTGAAATTTCAGGAATTTTTCCATTAGACTTTCTAAAACTCCAGGGACTTTTAGATGTTCAGGGGACATCGTAGAAATTAAGGAAATTCAATATAAATCTGGGGAACTTCGTAGAACTTCCGAGAATTTCGAAGAAAACCAGCGAGATTTATAAAAAAAAATCGGAAAAACATCGAAGAATTGGGAACTTCAGGCAAGACACTCCGTTTAAATTAAAGGAACTTTGTTTAATTTTAAGAAATTTAATAAGAGTTTTTCATGTAGCTTCAGGGCAATTCGTTGAAGTTTAATGAACTTAAAATAGATCCGAAAATTCCGTAGAAATTCATGAATCTTTGTACAACTCCAGGGAACTTCGCAGAAAGTTAACAATATTCTTAAAAATTCAAGGAACTTTGTAGATGTGCAGCAAATCTTCATAGAAATTCTGATAACTTTGTGGAAATCACGCCAACTACTTAGCAATTCGAGGAACTTCGTAAAACTTCATAGTAGTGCTGAATTTTGATTAAAGTTCAGCCAAATTTGTAGAAGCTCAGAGAACTTCGAAGAAGGTTCAAGGTTTTTCCTGAAGGTCGGAGAAGATCATGGATATTCCGAGTCTTGGTCAAATTGAGAGACCTTGGAAGAAAGTAATCATGGAACTTAAATGAAGCTGATGTAACTTCGTAGAAGTTGAGAAAATTTGTAGATGTTCAATGAACATTTGAGCAATTTTTCCAGCTCTCAAGAATTTTTGGCTGGAAATGCCATCTTCGCGACTTGCTGAGTACGGTGCTGGTGAATAGCCATTTACTATTTCTAATATTTTTTTTAGGAACGGCTCAGCTAAAAGTTAAGAGAAAGTTTGTCGATTTGTCAGTACAAAAGGCCTGAGCAGCCTTTTAAAATGACCTCGAAATGCAGTAAGAAGCTTGAAGAAGCCGGGAATTACTTTTTGGAAAGAGATTTTATTGACTATTTCTAGGACAGAAGAGGACTTGACTTGGATGGCTTTTAGTGGAAGGATAGACGAGTTTCGAAGATTATCTTGGATTAATATTGTGACGGTGTGAGCGAGTTTAAGGGAGACCCGAAATTAGAAGACCCATAGGTTCATGTTTCATTTATCTGTGGGTTCGTAAGAATATTTTAGAAGGTCTTAAATGATATCCAGGGAAGACCATTAAAAAAAGGAAAATTTGAAAATTGTCGTTGATAAATTTTGAGAATAGTAACTTACAATACTTTGAAGTGTGGGGAGGGGGCGACCCCGGCGTAGTGGTTAACATCCATGCCTCTCACGCCAAAGTCACGAGTTCAAATCTCACCCCCGGACAAGTCACGAATAACCCAAGAGTGTTAAAGTGACTATAATAAATAAAAAAAAGTTTGAAGTGTGCAGATCTCTCAAGATGAAGCACTCAAAGATCCATGTTAATGCCATTTCCATTCCATTCCATTTCCATTCAATTTCCATTCAATTTTCATTTCCATTCCATCATTTCCATTTCATCATTTCCATTCCATCATTTCCATTCCATAATTTCCATTGCATCATTTCCATTGCATCATTTCCATTGCATCATTTCCATTCCATCATTTCCATTCCATCATTTCCATTCCATCATTTCCATTCCATCATTTCCATTCCATCATTTCCATTCCATCATTTCCATTCCATCATTTCCATTCCATCATTTCCATTCCATCATTTCCATTCCATCATTTCCATTCCATCATTTCCATTCCATCATTTCCATTCCATCATTTCCATTCCATCATTTCCATTCCATCATTTCCATTCCATCATTTCCATTCCATCATTTCCATTCCATCATTTCCATTCCATCATTTCCATTCCACCATTTCCATTCCCATTTCCATTCCTATTTCCATTCCCATTTCCATTCCCATTTCCATTCCCATTTCCATTCCCATTTCCATTCCCATTTCCATTCCATTTCCATTCCATTTCCATTCCATTTCCATCCCATTTCCATTCCATTTCCATTCCATTTCCATTCCATTTCCATTCCATTTCCATTCCATTTCCATTCCATTTCCATTTCCATTTCCATTTCCATTTCCATCCCATTTCCATTCCATTTCCACTAAAGTATTTATGTTTATTGAGTTGTTTTTTGCTTTTTGGTGTTCTGCCATTTAAAGGCCAAGCATAAGGACTGAACGGAATTGGATGAAATAACCACCAAATGAAAACTATGGTCCCATAGAATATTTTAAGAATCGGTAAACTGGTTTCGGAGATATGGCCGGAACATGCTCTGGTTTGTATGGGCCATGAGACTAAAGCTGACATGCAACGAATAAAGTCCATCATGTGACACATCAAATGACATGAGAATCTAATAACCAGTTCAATGGCAGTCATTTTGGAGTGCCCAGGAACACACTGGCCACATCCGAAGATGTTCCGGGCACCCCCGAGAAAGTGACCAGTTTCCGACTAGGGGCAAAATCCATCATGCGATACCTCAAATCACATGCGAATTCAAAAACTAGTTGAATGGTAGTGATTTGGAGTGTCTAGGACCACACTGGCCACATCCGGCCATGTTCCGGGAACCCCCGGGGACCTCAATTTACTTAGGTCGATCGCTATTGAGCTAAATGAGTCATGAGGTCAAATTTTGGAAAGTGAGATTAGATTTAGTGAAGGAAATATGTTTAAGACTAATCGATCTATTAGAGTTGTCGGACTCACGCTGTATAAATTCCACGATCCTATATTTGAAAAAGAAATTAAAATTTTGAGTGTTGCAAAATTGACATGAATTCCAAGAGAATCTGAATCTGAATCTGAAGGTACTTCCAAATGGATTCTAACGAGAATTTTTCGTTGTATTCCAAAGGAGGATCACTTAGGCAATGCTGTAGAGAATTCCTAGGGAACGGTGGCAGTAGGACAGTTCCACGCCAAATGACGGATCGGAAAAACTCCACCTTTTCCGATTTGCATAATTTTGCAAAAAATCGGTCATTTTGGATCTTGCAAATATGTTCAAAATGGCGTCTGTCTTGCTTTAAATAAATTGTAGCATGAAAACGTCACTTCTGATCCAAATGACGTCTGAGACAAAGTTGAAGTTGAAAAATAATGTCTTCCTGAGAAAAATACAAAAATGCAAATATCTCAAAAATATCTAAAAATTAGCTCATGAAAACGGCAAACTTTAGGAATATCTAAAACCATCGACACTTGAAAATTGATTCCCAGAATTTCCCAGAAAGACTTTACTTTTCTCAACAACTCTAGCTAGAGCTGGAATTGGGGCGTAACAGCTTTTGTAAACAATGACTTCTCTCGATGATTTCTAGGAATTCAAGGCACGTGCCCAAGCAAACCAACATTACCGTCGGGTAGGGGAAGTCGATGATTTGCGTGAGCGAGCCTTGACTTTCAAGACATCATCGAAAGAAGTAATTGATTACAAAAGCTGTTACGCCCTAATTCCAGCGCTATCTTGAACTTTGTCTCAGATGTCATTTCGATCAGCAGTGACGTTTTCGTGCTAATTTTTTTTTTTAAGACGCCATTTTGTAAAAAATATCAAAAATGGCCGATTTTTTACAAAAATGTGAATGATTGTCCATAACAAACAATCATGCAAAGTTTCATGCAAGTCGGAGAAGGTCGAGTCACCTATTTTTATTTTTGATATTTGGGTTGGAACTGCTCAGCAGTTATGAGGCGTTATGAGTAGAATTCCAAAATAGTTCTGACTCTGACTCTGACGAAAAAATTTTCTACAGAATTTTAAGAAAATTCGCAACGGAATGTTGAGGAGAATTCAAAAGGGCAGTCTGAAAATAATTCTAAGCTTATTTTCTAAGAAATTCTTATGGGTTTCCGAGGGAATTCTGACAAAAACTACAAAGCCATCTTGATAATAATTCCAAATTTGATGATAGGTCCAAAGCATTTTAATTTGATTTTAAATTCTAACGATAGCTTAATGAGAATTACAAGGGAATTATAAGGAAAGGGGGAGAGGTAGCTCATCGATTCTTCCGGTTCGCCTCCTAGCATCGTGCTATAAGGTACCAGGCGATAACCAGGGTAGTTGATCGATAGCTCGATGACGTCATTTCGTTGACGTCTGCAATGGGAAATTCTCATAGCAGGCGTTGACGATGGGACGTTGTCGAGTTGTTGAATAGCAACTATCGTGGTAACTCACCGATTACCTGTCGATCTGCCAAATTTGGAAAGACGTCTGCATTGAATTGTCTCATATAATAATATTCCGCCCACTATATCACAAGAAATTGCGAGTAGCTGACTGGAATGGAGATAAGTTAAGCATTGGGTACAGGACCAAGTCTCCCCTGGGTGGTGCCAAAAGATGAGCACAATAGAATCATCAAGTTGCCATAAGGCACGGAATGAGACTATTGCATGGCTGGGTAGTCAAAGTCTTCCATTCGTTAGTCATTTCAGGTGGATTAGAGCAGGTTTAGGTTTAGGGTGGGCGTTGGCCAGATTTGGATTTTTCAGATGTAATCCTGGATAGGACCCTGTCATTGAACGTTGCGTGAAAGTGGAACTTAATGAAGGCCTAAGTACTTTTTCGTAGTTTTTAGTTTTCGGATTTGAAAGATCGTCGGTTGCAGTGGCCTGCTTACTGAGCAGAAAAACGCTGTCCCAGGTCCTTACATATCAAAGAGATTTATGGTAAAATTGCTTGTGTATCTTGTATTTTGCGAAACTCGTTGTTGTCGTTGGTTCCGGGTTTGAATGGATACACAAATTTGAGCAACGGTATTATGTGATATGAGGGGCTCGGTGGCCTTAGAGCAACCGTTTTTGCTTACTGAGCAGAACATCATGAGTCTAATCTCAGGCCCATCCACATTCAAGATTCGTCAATCGTTTTATTTGTTAATATGACTACATGGTAATAACAGCAACTCGGTGATTAAAAAGGTGCTCGTTAAATTGTCAAGACAATTTAAATTATTATCTGGGAACACTGCAAACAATTTTTGAGGAGTTTACAAGCAAATTTTGGAAAAATAATGCAATGCAAAGTTTCTAGGGAATTTACAGGAGAATTCCAAGACAATTCTGAGCAGAAGTACATGGCAATTATGCGAGAATTCCATGGTTAATCTGAAGGTTATACTAAGGGAATTGTGAGAAAATTCTTTGAACAGTTCCAGGCACAATACTCGATGAACATTTCAAATGGTCCTATCTGCTTTGATCGATTCACTTCATCGACTTTCTCTATTTACATATAACCACTGCTATGCAAACAGATTTCGCGCTAATTCTACCACATAGTTTGATAAAGGAGGTTCTTATCTAGCGTCCAAAGTGTCAAATACAACAGGGAAATGTTTTGCAGCTGAGTTATTGACGAAAGAGAAAGTCGATTTTGAAATGTTTATGTAGAATACAATTAGGTACTACAAGCGCCTGAAGGTATGCGTGGAGCAATACTGCCGTTCATGGCAAGTCCGTCCCATAGCACAAATCAGCAAGCTGAGGAAAAGGCGTTTAAAGATTGCTTCTGACCATTGCTTCTTATGTAATGAGATAATTCGTGTGGCTATTTTTCCAAACTTTTCCAGAATGAAGTTGTTGAGTTCATCTAGTATAAATGAAAATATGGGTGATTAGCTACCAACTCCATTGAAAAAAAAAAACAGTTTTGACAAAAAGGCAAATGGGACCGACAAACGATGAGCGGCAGAATAGGTCTAAATTAATATAATAATAAGTTTTTCTCAGAAGTCTAATCGATTTGCAGTCTTCGACAAAGTTGTGCTACTTAGTATTACAAATCATTTTCCAAGATTTTAGGAAATTTGAGCAACATTTGAATTTGAATGACAAGCAAATGAATACGTTAGTTTCGTTTCCCATACATTTTCCCAAACCAAATTTAAAATTATCCCGCAAATACAGATCATAACCAAATTCGTTCAAGTTTGGCACCATTCTTGGGGACCTCAACACACATCGGAAGAGCAGTGGGGAACTGGGAGTTGTGATCCATCATGCACACTCGACCCACCCTGATGAATATGCTTCCAAAATTGGAATTTCGGTGAACATTAGACAAATCAACCCCCACCACTCACCTTGATCGCACTCGTCAATATCCTCGGAACAGTCGATCCCCTTGTAGCCCAAAGCGCAGGAACAGGTGAACGATCCGTTGATCGGGCTGGTATCACAGATTGCATCCGCATGGCACGGATTGGAGGTGCAGGCATCGTCCAGATGACACAGCAGACCCGTCTTACCGGGCGTACACCGGCAGTAGAAGCTCCCGACCCCGTCGATGCAGGTCGCCCCGTTGAAGCAGGCCGCATCGACGCAATCGTCGATATTGTTGCTACAATCGGGCCCATTCCAGCCGTTCACGCAAATGCAGTTGTAGCCGCCGTGGGTGTTGGTACAGGTGGCCCCGTTCTTGCAGATCGTCGGCTGCTGCACGCACTCGTCCACGTCCGTTTCGCAGTACTCGCCGGTAAAGCTCGGCGGACACTTGCAGTGGTAGGCATTGACCCCGTCCACGCAGGTGCCACCGTTTTGACACATATTACCCGGGCAGTCGTCGATGTTCTCCTCGCAGTTTTTGCCTTGAAAACCTGTGTGAGAAAGTGGTGGAAGAGAAGGAAAATACCAGTAAATTAAAACCGTTTCATGAGTGTGTAGATGGGAGACAAAATAAGGGTGCTTGTGAAATGCAGGTTCGGCGATCGAGCGCACACCTGTTGTTATCAGTGACGTGAAATCCGGATAACGGATTTCGTTTTCGGGAGAAGAACATGCACGCGTCAACCACGGTGACGACCCTCCGAAGGGTGCTATAAGTTAATGTTCGGTAGCACTCGGCGGATTGAATTGGACATTGTTCGGATTGACCCCAGCGCAGGCGGTGCAGGTCACCCACTGTTCCCTGCTCTGAGGGTGACTAATGCAACATAATCAACCCAACAATATACAATATCCAAAGCCCAATCCCAATGTTTCGCGAGGATCCAATGATCGAACTGGTTTTTATAGCCCAAAGGGTTTCTTCGCCGATTCCTCTTTGGTGGTTCTTTCTTTGTGTGTAAACACGCTCGCGTCCACACAAAAAGGCGATCGAGAGACATGGACGACGACGTCTTGTGGTTTTTTGCGATTTCGCCCTCCGCTGCTCCGCGACCCAATGGTCGATCGTCGTCTTCGGTCGGTGTGGTTCGCCGAACCGTATACGACGAATATGTATGCGCTTGTACACTTTCCCACGGTTTCATATCTGTTTATAGAGGAAGTCTCCGCGTTCTCGCTCTCTGTCCCTTTCTCTCTCATTCTCGATCGAGAGCTCGGCGATCTCTCTCGCTTGCTCCGACCGGGACGGAGGCCACACCAAAAAGCTGTGCCCTCGTCGATCGCATATGGACGAAAAAATGTTTCCAGACTCAACAGCAGCTCAGCATTGAGACGGCAACAACACAACAAGGATCGCTCGACGACGAGAGTGTTCAGGCAGGACACACCGTCGGATTCAGAGATAGAATTACGCGCGCGCTTCACTCTTCTCTCGATACACGTGCTTACCGCACGACGACGATTCGCCATGGTGTTGGTGGGCCAGCACAGCAGCACGTGTGGTACGGAACGATCGCGCAGGGATTGTTTACGCAGCGGCGATCGAGCGCAGCCGCGACTGTATTGGTGAGACGAAAGCAAGTCAGCGAACGGCGAAGAAACGGCAAGGAATGTCGGGTTCAATCTGTCAAATTGAGAAGAAATTGGCACGAAATGGCTAATTTGTTGCGTGTATGTGAATTTTTGCTCTGCGAGCACATTCCAGCGCAACAGAAATGCACTGGAAATTCCGCTTTGGTTTTGATTTTATAAGGGGTTCAAAAACAAAAATGCAGTTTACCGGTTCAGCCGCTTGGCAGCGCTGTGGTCGACTTTCACGAGTCGTACCCATTCCGGTTGTGACACAAAGTCAATAAAAAAAATAAATAAATAGTCAACGACGACGACGACGACGACGTGATATCATTTCACGTTAATTAAAATGCAGTCCAAATAGCAATTTAAGAGCTTAGAGCGCAACTCTCGGTCGGTGGTCACAGGAATAGACGAACTCGCAGCACAGCTTTGGAATTTTTAATGCGATTTGTTGGTAATTTTTGTTGATTACTCTACTTCTTTCCTGTGTTTTAGTTTTTTTTTTCTCTCTTCAGGCCTATTTTCCTCTTCTTCTCGCTACCGCAATCATTCATCTACAACAAGCACCATCGGTGTAATCGGTTTTCTTTCACGCGGTTCATTCATTCAAGCTTTTTCAGTTTCAAACGCAATCCGATACGACTGGGGACGGGGACGGATACGGGGTGGGACGACCGCCAGAGATAACGCAGCGCACGTTTCGTGTGAGCGATGATGATCAGGGCAAGTGAGTAAGTGAGGTTAAGTAGTGCAAAGGGTTCGCTTGGGTTATGCGATCGCTAGCGGTGGTGTTGCATACAGTGGGTAATTTAGTTGCGTTCACTGCATAAAAGCATTATGCAGCTAAACAAAAGACTCTTGCAGAGAGAAGAGCCTATATTTACCATTCAACTGCACCTCGGTCATTGCTTATCCTTGACGAGATACGAGAATTTCGTCTACGATGCATAGATTTGTCCGTGTCCAGAGGCTTAGCGGCTATTGCCGACTTCGGATTTTGTTTATCAAGCTTTCAACAGCTGAGCTGCTTTATAAAATGCAGATATTCCAATTATGAATTTACAAACCAAAACAAAATTAAAGCTGAAATTATATATTAATTTAATTCATGGTATAGATTTAAGGTACTGCGAAACTTGAAATATCCATAGTAGTGTTAGTAGTGTAGTGTAGAACAAAAAAGACAGCTATGGTGATCCACAGGCGGCCGCAGAAGAAAGGCGAGCGAAAATGTTTGACGGTCCTGAGAGTCGTAATGTTGATAATAGCCAGAGGTGGCAGGTGTTTTGCAGGAAATTGAAGTAAGAAGCGAATTGTCTATATCGTCTCATCTACCCATACATACACGGATATTGATAACTGCTTAGATAACCGATGCACGCTTAGACAGCTTGCAGAAGATGCCGTGGTTTCCCTGAGAGGTCCACGTGCGGAAATCTTTCAAAAACCATTGCAAAATTCCCTAAATAATCTGTCTTTCTGGGCAAGAAATTTAGGGGACTGAATTGGTAGTGTTTACAAGGAAGCGGTTTCCAGCCCAACTGCGTCTAAATCTTTTGGGCAGAGACATCACCCAATCTTTAACCTTCAAATACCTTGGAGTCTGGTTTGATTCAAAATGCACTTGGGGACCCAAGCCTAGCTGTTCTAGCCGGAGTAAAACCCCTGCAGAACCGTTTCTGGGAGCTCTCATTAAGAATATAGATCAAATGTAGTGTCAGTAACAACCTTGTGATTGCAAACTTCGAAGAAATGCTCGAATTGAGCATCCAGTTTAGATTCGTGCGAATCTATCTAAATTAGGTGTCATCGGATATTAGCCTTCCGTGCTATAACCCCTCCTCGGGTATGCTTTACTAACTACAGTTCCCACATTGACGATGGTCTCTCCATGAAACAGGCTAGTCAAGGAGTTCCAGATCAACTTCGACCTATCTCAATTCCCCGTATTTTTGCTGAAAAGTGCCAACAAGTCAATTGCAATTGATGATTTTTCACTGATGGGGATCGATCCACTGGCTTCTTCTTCTTCTTCGTCTTCTTCTTCTTTTTTCCTTTATTTAACGACGGTCTCTGTTCCGCAATCTAGTGCCAATCACCGACGGACATCGATTGCCATCCATTGACGGCAATCGAATGTGCAGGAAGGCAGCTTCCACACCTGCGTAGGATATCGCACCCATTTAACACATATGGGCCCTTCCAGAGATTTTTATGCCTCAGAAAAATCCCACCGACCTCGGCTGGGATTGAACCCAGACCCATCGGGGTGTTAGAGAAAGCAGTCACGCTTACCACTACACCACCGGCGCCGGCTCCACTGGCTTCGGCGCAAGGCCCCACAAAGTCACTTTCAATCGAAAATCGTCAAGCTGTTTGTTTTGGCTTGACTCGTGTTCATTTCTTCTTTCATTGTCAAATGAACTTACTTTTGCATTGAAGCGAAGCTGTTCACGGTTCATTGCGTATGCGCATAGATCTGTGCACGTGAATGTCAAATTTATCATTGTCGGGTGGTTTGTTTACCCATCAGTATGGGTATTTTTCCAATCGGGGTGATGTCTAGAGATCGAATATTGATATGCGACGCCAATTCGAAATCCAAGATGGCGGCTTTCAGTTTGAAAAAAGTAGGAAATGCTGTCAAATACTTATCAATAAAGGTATTTTTGGAATCGGGATGATGTCTAGAGGATGAAAATAGATATCCGACGCCATTTTGAAATCGAGGAAAAAAATCGAAAAAGTGGAAATACAGTCAAATACACATCAATATTGGTATTTTGGTAATCGGTATGAAGTCTACAGATCGAAAATTGATATGCGACGCCATTTGGAAATCCATTCTTCCGATTTCAGATTAAGTGGGAAATACTGTCAAATACCCATCAATATAGGTATTTTTGAATCGAGATGGCGTCTAGAAGCCGGAAATCGATATCCGACGCCATTTTGAAATCCAATTCGACGGCTTCCTATTTCAGAAAAAATGGGAAATGCTGTTGCTATTTTTGGAATCGGGGTGATGGCTGGAGATTGAAAATCAATATCCGACGCCATTTTGCAATCCAAGACGGCGACTTCTGATTTGCGGAAGAGTGTCAAATATCCTAAAATATGGTTATTTTTAGAATGGGGATGAGAAGTAGATGCCAAAAATTGATGTCACGCAGTCTTTAAATCCAAGATGGCGGCTTTGGTTCAGAAAAAAACTGTGAAATACTGTCAAATACCGATCAATGTGGGTTTTTTGGAATCGGGTTGACATCTAGAAATCAGAAATCGATGTCCGACCCCATCTTGAAATTCAAGATGGTGGTTTCCGATTTCAGAATAAGTGTCAAATGGCATCGAATATCGATTTTCAGCATCTACGCATCGTTCCGAAAATATCCAGATCTTAGGGTATTTGACACTTTTTGTGAAACCCGATGGCCGCCATATTGGATTCAAAAATGGCATCGGATATCGATTTTCGGCATCCACACGTTGTCCCCATTCCGAAAATACCCATGTTGTAGGATAGTTGCAACTTTCTGAATCCTGACGGCCGCCATATTGGATTCCAACATAGCGTCCGATATCGATTTTTGCCATCTATCCATATCTTAGGGTATTTGACACTTCATAAAACCAATCACACTGGGGACAAAATCGAAACAATGTGTTAAAATTCAATAACTTCGGTGCTCGCTGGAACAAGAGACTAAAAAATAGTCATTCTTATAGAAAAAAGTCTCAGGAATCGATTCGAGTGGGTTTCATCTTGGGCACGATAGGGTAAGTTGGGGTTTTTCACAGTTTTGCCCTAAAATCTCCTATTTTGCATGATTTGAATGCTGTATCTCAAGATACCGATGATATAGACGGATGATTTCTTCGGCAAAGTTGATCAGGAGGTCAAGGAATGTTGGAT